TTGGGATAAACAAAATTTCACACTATAGTATAACATTCATTTTAAAATTCTATTTGACACAAAAAAAAAAAAAACTTTAGAGGTGGTTTGTTGAAAAAATATGCTTTACATCATAAAGTGTCAATAACAAAATAGTTTATGGTTTAATTTAAACATAAAATTATAGTAAATTAATGATAAAAAAATATATTTAACTCATAAATGATTGATAAACTTGTTAAATTAAAGATAATTAATTTTTGGGTTAAATATGTTTTTAGTCCCTAAACTATTCGTATTTCTGGTTTTCGTCCCTCTTTCAAAGTAAGGTACAATTTGGTCCTCATTCTTTTCGAAACGTTCGTTTTAGTCCTCGAAAACTAAACACGGTTTAAAAATTTGGTCCTCATTTAGCAACAAATGAGAACTAAAACCAAAATTCCGAGGACTAAAACGAACGTTTCGAAAAAAATGAGGACCAAATTGTACCTTACTTTGAAATAGGGACGAAAACCAGAAACGGCCAATAGTTTAGGGACTAAAAACATATTTAACCCTTAATTTTTCTTTTATTTTTTAAATAAAGTCGCTTAACACAAGTTAACAATCATACCAACTTAATATTGAAAAAAAATATATATACTTATTTGATCATATGGGTACTTCGTAGAAAAACCATCACAAGAAAATTCTGTCTATTTATCTCTTTAAATAATTTATAGTTTTAAAAACGTAAAAGTTTGTAAAGTCATTGCAACATGGTATTTGATAATAACCATTCCTTTGGAATCATTCAACAAGACCAGATTTCTTTTAGAATATTACTTCATTCATGCATTTTCCAACTTTATAAGAAGAAGTTGGTTTCAAATTGAAATCCTTCTGAACAAAGAAAGTATAAAAAATTAAATAATTGCCTTAGTGCATCACAATACAAAAGAAGGAACAATGATTTCCAAAAGAACATGGCATTAATATTAGTATCAAATCACCAAAGATTTTGGATATAGAATTCTGAATAACAACAATACAATAACCATATGACAAAGTCTTCAACTTCATCACGACACTCCATACATGTTTGACAAGCATTTTTTATAAAAGAAATTTATTATATAGTAGTTTTATTTTGGTAAAAAAAATTATCAAAATTCAATCACATATATATTTTAAGATTTTAGTTGGAAAATCAAGTCAAACTAAAGTCATATAAATTTAAAATGCATCTTCAAAATTATCTATATTGATATTCTCTGTGATAAGTAAATGCAATATATTTAACATTTATGAAATATCAACTAAAAAACTGACTTACATAGCTAAAAAGTATATCTTTAATATAAAATACAGAAAAAAAAAATAAGATTAAATAAAGGTGTAAAAGTACAAATTGTATTTGTGGTTACTATTATAGGAAGACCGACCTTGATGGGACGTAGCAATAATGTTAAATCAAAGACAAGGTCGTGTTGTGGCATACACAACTTCAAATTCGTTAGTAACTACCGAAACTGATGATGTTGTTCTATTGATTCCTCAATTTCTCCAACCAAAACTAAATTTCCTGTTTTGATCGCTTCATTACATTCAGTTCTCAGTTCTGAATTGTTTTGGGACACAATCATGGCTTCACTATGCCGGCGGTTATCCGCCGCCGGCGCCGGCGCATCGGTCGGTCGGGCTCAGTTACGGCGCCCAGCTGGGATAAGCGAGCTGCGTTACAGTTGCTACGTCAGGAGGCCAATGCGGTTGGTGGCGGCGCGGGCCAACGTATGCGGCGGCGCGTGGGTGACATTCGCCTCCGGAGGGAGGGAGGAGAAGGTGGGGGCTTGCTCCTATGCGGTGGAGGATCGGAAGGTGGCGGCAGATGGTGGAAGGGAATCGGTGGAGGGGAGTGGTAAGCGGGCGGCTGAAGTGGCGGCAGCGGCCGCCACCACGGTGGTGCTGGGTGTGGGGAACCGGGTTTTGTATAAGCTGGCTTTGGTTCCGTTGAAGCAGTATCCTTTCTTCCTTGCTCAACTTGCCACTTTCGGGTACTTTACCTTTAAAAGAAAAAAAAAGGAAAAAAAATTAATAGAAATATATTATTAATAACCATATTCTACTTATTAGCATAAACATAGAGACAGCATGTGTGAATCATGTTTTAAATATCTAAAAAATTATTTAAATTTTAAAAGTAATAATTAAAAATATATATTTAGTTATAGATATAGTCATAGATAAACTAAATTTTAAAATAAAAATAAAAAATATTCTAAGTAATATTGCATAAATAATATTATGAGTAATTATTTAAATTTTAAAAAATAGTTATTAAAATGATAAAAGAATAAATATTTTTTTTATAAATATTTTAAATTATTATGTAATTATTTTAATTTAAAAAGATAGTTACTAAAATGATAAAATTAAAAAATAATTATATTAATTTAAAGAGTAGTAATTAAGAGAATAAAATTGAAAAAAATGAAAGACAATTATAAAAAATATAGATGATGAGATACTTTTATGTTTATAATTAATATAAAAACTGTATCATAGTAACAATAAATAGACACTTATAACATAGATCGAACATTCCAACACATATTATTTCTCATTTTTTGGTCTAGGTAGTTCAAAGGGTAAACAACTCTGAAAGTATTCAGAATAAAATTTAAAAAATAATTAGTTTTTAAATAAATGTTATTAACTTTATGAAGTATAACTCTTGTACTATTATTCGACAAAAAAAACTTCAGTAAGTATGCTTTTATTTCAAAAACTAAACTTCTTACTGCATGAGTTAGTTTATAATTGAATAACTTTACATTTGTAAGATCATTTCAATTAAACCAAAAATAATATAATTTTGTTTCAGATGGAATTGATTTGGAAACATGACCAAAACAAGCATTGAATGTTTGAAATTGTACATTGTTTATTTCAGATATGTAATAGTGTACTTTGGCGTTTTGTATATTCGAAATCATGCGGGCATGGTGACTGATGAAATGTTAGATGCGCCAAAGGCTCCATTTGTTGTTGTTGGTCTATTGGAGGCTCTTGCTGCAGCCACTGGAATGGCTGCAGGAGGTAATTTTGTACCCTTTCTCAGCTTCTGAATCACATTTTCAACTGTTCTTTTTCAAAAGAGTTTTTTTGTGACAGCACTGATATTCATAGTATAAATATGTCAGATTCTGAATTTGGTTATTTGTTGTGCTCTTTCTTGTACCAGCAATTCTATCTGGAGCATCCATTCCAATTTTATCTCAGGTAAAAAGAATCAGCAGTTAATTTTATCTGGAACGTCAAATTGGAAGCTGAAATAAATTTGAACTGACGAATTAGATAATTATCTGAGATATATTGAACTTTAGCATATAAAGTTGGCTATGTTATCAATTCAGTTTCAGTCTGAGCTCATGTATGCAGAACTTACTTAGCTGTTCAGAAAATTGTAAAACAAAGCTGGTAGTTAATTGGAGCTATTCTCTTGCAGACTTTTCTCGTGTGGCAAATACTCCTGTCAATTATTTTTCTCGGAAGAAGATATAAAGTTAACCAATTACTTGGATGTTTTCTTGTATCCATTGGTGTAGTTGTTACTGTAGCAAGGTCAGTAAGTACATGTGACTTTAACAAGGATCGTAGACCATGGTGACTCATGTTATGAGTATCGGTAAAAGCAATGCATGATCATTAGTCAATAAACTGATTCTGAAAGTCTTTAAGCAACTTAATATCATTGACTTAATGATATTAACCTATTAGGCTTCTCTAAGTTTGTGGCAAAAACTTTAGGAAATTTATGATTAGTTTTTATAGCTTCTTACTTATTATATATACCTTTGTTTTTGTTTACTACTGTAGTGGAGCTGGTGTAGGGAATTCATTGAAGGAAGGTGGTATGTTTTGGAGTCTTCTCATGATAATCTCGTTTTTTCTCCAAGCAGCTAGCACCGTGCTTAAGGTTATCATTGTTTAAAATGTTGGCTGCATTTTCTCAACTTAAAAAAATTCTCTGTAGTTACACTGTACTTTTCATATTTTTGCAGGAGACAATCTTTTTGGACTCAACCCAAAAACTGAAGGTCAGTATGGCAGTGAATTGTTTTAATCTATGTTTCCATTAATCATGGCTTTTCAAGGGTCTTAAGGGTGCTTGAATTAGCTTCATGCTGATTACTTTTTCATGGTAAAGATAAAGAAATAAACACTTATTTCTATTTTTTGGTTTATCACCATTATCTTTACAGGACAGAATTAATCCAAACACATTATATTTGTTGTTGAGAATTTAAACATAAGTCTAAGTATCACATTAAATATAAATAAAAAAGTTGAACAACATATAAGAAAGAAAATCTATATATTTTATAAAGTACTAGATTGAAAGTGGTGTCAAGTTTTCTATGTGATGGATTAGATTTGATGTGCATGTTGCTACACTAGTTCCATTTAAAGCTAAGATGGAACACTAATCAGTATTGAATATTATCTGAAGCAGGGAGGTTCCATGGACTTGTTTGTTGTCAATTCGTACGGATCTGCTTTCCAAGTAAGTGTTCTTCAATCTTTCATGAAATATTCATCTTTTAGATTTGCAATATAAATGAAAATAGATGCCTAAATGTAAGGGTATATGCTTAACATAGGCACTATTCATATGCCTTCTTCTACCCTTCTTGTCAAAATTATGGGGCATCCCCTTCAGTCAACTACCAAATTACCTTAAAGATGGTGCAGCCTGCTTCCTAAATGTTGGTACATTATCAAATGGTAAGCTGCATTTCCTTTTCATATTGTCATACTCATACCTTCTAATGCTCAGTTTAATGTCCACTTAAAAACGAGGGTGAAAATTTCAGCATGAATGATGAAAAATTGCATGGAAACTCATCCCTAAATATTTTACTCCCAATTTCAAATTTGATGAGCAGACTTAAAAATCCTTGTTTTCTAGTCTTGCTATTTTTGTGATAATGGTGATGAAAGAAAGGTTTTTCTGGTTCAGGATGTGATGGTGCTCCTCTGCTGCCTCTGTTGTTTATTATTGTAAACATTGGTTTCAACATTGCACTGCTTCATCTCCTCAAAATCTCTTCTGCTGTTGTATCTTGTCTTGCTTCCACATTTTCAGGTATGCAAGCTGTTTGATAAAATTATTGTATGGACCTGGACCAATACACATCCACGGTCTTGAATGATTATTATGTAACACGCAGTCAAAATTTTCAATTTCCCAGAAAGAATTAGAAGAACATAGCTATATATGGGAGATTGACTGAAATCATAAATGTGTTTGTGATTTCAACAATTTTTCAATTTACAAATACATGCTAATGTGAAATTATGAGCATACCCAATTGATAGAATGTGGCTTTTTGTTGTGGCAGTTCCAATATCAATCTATGTGTTCACCATGCCATTGCCATACCTTGGTGTTGCCTCCTCTCTTCCAGCAGGTTTTATGACAGGGGCCATCATTCTCATTTTTGGCTTACTCATTTATGCATGGACCCCTTCAAATGGTTCCTTCTCAGCTCCCACCTAGAATGAGTTAACATGTCATTGAACACAGTAAAACAGCAGAAGGAACTAACTCATGTTCACTTCTCAGTGGTGGCTAAAACAAGGAAAAAGAATGTCTTGTTCTTGTAATTGCTGGAAAGCGTTTTTTATGAGCTAAGCTCAATTTAGAAAGAAATATTCTAGAATGTAGATTGTTGGAGATCTATTTCCGTTAAAGATAACCTTAAATTATAATATTATATAAGTGGGATAAATTTTATCAAAAAGTTAAGATTTATCCTGTTTATGTATTATAATTTTATTTTATTTTTAACTGATACGAAATCTCTAACATAAATTTAAGTTCAATTTTTGTATAAGCTAATAAAAAAGTAAATAGAGAATAAAAGTCATTTTGTTCATGCTGGACAATTTGGATGTGCTAAGAGAAATCCAATATGTTCTTGATCACTAAGAACACAAGTGATTATGTATGTATATACCATTTGGTAAAAAGCATTGGCGTTTCTTTTTCCTAAAACTTCTCAGTAGAAGAGCGTACCTTTTGAAGAATAACTACTGGAGCTTAATTTCAGAGTAAATTCATCGTGCATATGACCTAAATTAGTTTGTTTTTCTTTTAATTTTTTGTTATTTGTGAGTTTAACATGAGAAAATCCTTTTCTTTATTACTTCATCCATGTGATAAATTTAGTGTAAAACGTTGTTTGTACATACATAGAAGTAATAGTTTTAAACATAATCACCATAATATATTATTCCCGAAGAACTATAAGTAATTATGATATAAACTTTAATCGGATTTTGATGTTTTGAGGCAAACTGAGAAACATACTACAATTAATTAAGCAAAAAAGAAAAGAAAAGAAACAGAAAACGTCAGTTAAACAAAATGTTTCAGGTTGAAGATATGAATTTGTTTGCTTTTTTATAAATGAGAAAGTTAAAAATAAATATAAAAAAAAAGTTAAAACTCTCCAATAATTATCATATTTGTACTGAAATCTTAACTTGATCTTCAAATTTCAAGTTGTCTTAATTAAGTCTTATTTTTCTAAAATGAGTAATAAATAAGTCTTTTTGTTAAGTGGACATATAACTTTTATTTTGGACTCTTGCTTCTTTCTACAATTATAAATTGGAAGCTAAAGAGTGCAACAAGAACACACCAAAGGAGGAGAAGAAAACCACTTAGAAGAGAAAGAGAGCCACGGTGAAGGAGAAAAATAGAGAGTTCTAAAAGATGGAGTTTTGTATATCATTCCGAGAGACTGAGATTCATAGAGAGATATTGAGAGAGTTAGAAAAACATTGTAATCCTACTTTTATAGTAGATATATTTTTCTAAACAAGATTTCGTGGTTTTTCTTGAAAGGATTTCCACATAAAAAATTTTGATATTATTTTTTTTTATGCTTTCACGTAGTGTCTATTTTGGATTAAGACTATGATATGTTAACAACTTTTTGACAATAGATTATGTATCACTATTTTATTAGTTCGTTTATTTGAAACGGACCAATCACAAGTTACCTTGCGAAAAAGTTATAAAAAAAATCGTTAAAAAGACATTTTCCTTTGAATTAATAGAAGAAGGAATAAGTATAGTTGTTTCCAAACATAAATATTTCTTTCTACCTTCTAAGAATATCCGAAAAAAAAAACATTTTAAAAAATAATCAACTTATTACCACGTTTTTATCTAGTTAAATTTAATTCTGTAGCAAATTTTAGTATTAGATTAATAATTGAGTTGCAAGATAATGCTACGAATTACTTGAATTAATTTTAAATTTGGACCTTCTTCTAACTTATGTAATTTGCTTTATATTTTAAAATGTTTTTTCTATTTGTAAATTTATTATTTAAATTAGCATATTGTGAAGACCAATAAGTTCAAATGTTCCCGTCAATTAATTTGTAAGTGCAACAAATCATTATCAATGCTTAAGAAATCATTTTTCTTCAATGAACAAAGAAAAAGATGAATTATGTGTATGGTAGATATCAAGGTGTTCACGAGTAGTCTTAATAAATACATTTTTATGGTAGTAATTAAATATTATATTAATGATGGGGCAAAATTATTTAACATTGAGAAACTAAACAAATATGCAATTAAATTTTTAAAATTATTAAAATTATACACTCAATATGAAGGAAAACTGGATTTAGCTAAATTACATAAAGTATTTAATAAATATAATAAACAGTATTATTGCGTGTTAAATACATATATGGGTGGTATTAACTACACCACATTTAATGAACACGATAAATAAAACTTATTTAATAATTTAATACATTAGGTGGTGTGATCTTGAAAATAATTAAATTTTATTTAATAAATAACTTGTGAATATGTAAGTTTATTTGAGAAGTGATATATTTTTGATAAATTAGGTGGTGTTCATNCTACAATTAATTAAGCAAAAAAGAAAAGAAAAGAAACAGAAAACGTCAGTTAAACAAAATGTTTCAGGTTGAAGATATGAATTTGTTTGCTTTTTGTATTTGGCCTAGTTATATATATATATTAATCGATATATCATCATTTTAAAATTTCTTAATCAAACAATTATTATTATTTTATCAAGTTAATAGTAATAGCAATTTAAGTACGAGTTAATAATTTTTTATTGAGAAAAATGAGAAAGTTAAAAATACATATATAAAAAAAGTTAAAACTCTTCCATAATTCTCATGTTTGTATTGAAATCTTAATTTGATCTTCAAATTTCAAGTTGATTTAATTAAGTCTTAATTTTCTAAAATGAGTAATAAATAAGTCTTTATGTTAAGTGGACAAATAACTCTTATTTTGGACTCTTGCTTCTTTCTACAATTATAAATTGGAAGCTAAAGAGTGCAAGAACACACCAAAGGAGGATAAGAAAACCACTGAGAAGAGAAAGAGAGCCACGGTGAAGGAGAGAAATAGAGAGTTTGTGGGAGAGTTTTAAAAGATGGAGTTTTGTATATTATTCCGAGAGGATGAGATTCATAGAGAGATATTGAGAGAGTTAGTATTGAGAGAGTTAGACAAATACTGTAATCCTACTTTTATAGCAGACATATTTTTCTGGACAAGATTTCGTGGTTTTTCTTGAAAGGGTTTTCATATAAAAATTTTCGATATTATTTCTTTTCATGCTTTCATTTGTATGCTTTCCCGTAGTGTCTATTTTGGATTAAGACCATGATATGTTAACAACTTTTTGACAATAGATTATGTATCACTATTTTATTAGTTCGTTTATTTGAAACAGATAAATCCCAAATTACCTTATGAAAAAATTATAAAAAAAAATTGTTAAAAAGACATTTTCTTTTGAATTAAAAGAAGAAGGAATAAGTATCATTGTTTCCCAACATAAATATCTCTTTCTACCTTCTAAGAATATCCGAAAAAGAAAGACATTTTAAAAAGTAATCAACTTATTACGACGTTTTTATCTAGTTAAGTTTAATTCTGTAGCAAATTTTTAGTATTAGATTGGTTTAATACCTCTTTTGGTCCCTCGAAAGGGGGCAAAAGTTCAATTCGGTCCTACCTTTTTTTAGAAGTTCAATGTGGTNTGTTATTTGAATAATCATTTCAATACTCTATGGCTCTCTGTTCCTCACAGAAAATGGATTCATACAACTTCTTTCTGATCTGAAAATATAGTTTTTCTGACCAAATTTTCAAAAAGCCAAAAAATGGTTGATAAGAACCTTTTTTCTCCTGTAAAAAATGTTATTGATTCAAACCTTTTTGCGTTATTTTTGGTTAACATTTTTCTTTCAAATTTTGTCTATTTTTTGTGTACACTACTGTAACTGAACTTCAGATAGTTTAAACATAACAGATTATTCTTAAACCATTATTCACATAATAAATCTGTATAAAAAATTTATATAGTTAATTATAATAATAAACTATACTGTTATACTATTATATAAAAAGATTCTCTAGTTTGATATACACTTTTTTAAAGTATTTTTTAAATCAAAATTATTATTTTACTGATTTTATTCTTTTAAGTGATTTTTTTTACTTCAACTGTTTTTTAATTTGACTTTTTTTAAAAAAAGTTTAACTATTTTTAAAAAAAAAACCTAAAATAACTATTACAATAAATAAATTATCTAAGAAAATAAACATTATTTATAATAAAATTTTAAAAATTATTTAAATTTATTTTTATAGTAATAATTTTTTTATCATAAAAAATGGACAGGTGCATGTATTTTTACTAGTTTTTCACTAGTTGATAATAAAAGGATTATTAATTCGAAACGGATTAGCAATAAACAACAATTTGGGATGGTTTTAAAGAGAGAATTCAAATGAAAGCGAGATTAGGAGATGAGTTTATGACTATTTGGAGAATCTTATTAAAGCATATGAAATACTTTTTTTTCTAAATGTTAAAATTGATGTGTGTATGTTAAAAATAAAATTTTATAAACTAATAATTCTTTAAATTGTTCTTTTTAAATTAATGTAAAATAAGAAAAACTTATATATAGATGACTCCGTCAAATCATTGGAACTTGGAATCAACTTTGAAAAATATAAATAAGAACTTTGATAAATATAAATAGGAAGTAAAGAGGATATGATACAATAATAGTTAGCCTTTTAATCTATTAAGAAGGATATAGTATTTATATTCTCGTTAAGTATAAACAAAAACTACTTTGATAAATATAAATGAAAAAATAATAGAATATAAATTTATGTATTAACGAGTGGTTGGTTATGCTTTTTAATTAAGTTTTTTATATCTTCTATACTAACTACCTTAAAAGGGTAAAATTGAAACAATAAAATAAAATATGCATATAGTTATGCGTATAATTATTTTAAAAGGTTTTGTTAGTTATTTTATTTTTTTTTCATAAGTTTTTTATTATAATTATTTATTATTTCAAAGTTGATAACTTGATCATTGTTGTTAAAAAATGTTTGAACTTTAATTTGTCTGTTTTTCAAATAATTTAGTTTGAAACTTTAATTTTTAATTAATATATTTATAATAATATTTGATTAAAAAGGATAAATACTTTAATTGTACAAATATAAAATAATGATTCGAGTGATGATTTTATTGTAATAAATATATGAAGTAAATTAAAAGAACAAAAAATTCTGAAATGATAATCTGTTAAATTGAATTGACTTACAAAATTTTTAAATCATCAAAGTGAATTGGATCGACTCACTTAAAAGTTTATAGGAGAATGTTTGAATTTGAAAATAAATCAAGTTGAAAATTTGTCATATTTGTAAGTATTAGGAGATTAGTTTTTGTTTATTTTTCTTTGCTAAATTGACAAATATATATAGATTAATATATATTTGTAATTTTGTAACAATTTTTTTAAAATAACCTATTTTAACAAATTAATTTGTTATTATTAAATTACACATAAAAAAGTAGATGAAAGATACACTATAGTGAATAGACATAACAAATTACATTAAAAACTTTATATAATTTAATCAAAATGACAATTTAATTCCAAAGTAATTGTAAATTACAATAACAAAACGTGTAACAATCACGTTGTAAAAAAGTTAACGCACTACTAAAAACATAATAAATAATCATCTCAAAATATTAATATATAATGTTATTATTGTTATTATAAACATAAATAATACACAATAATCTATTAAAAAAATGAAACATAGAAACTAATTAATTTTTTTAAATCAATTATGATATAACTCTTCTGTTTAAATACTTAAAAAATAATAATCAAATTTCTTTAATCAAAATTTTATTTTTTTAATACAATACAAAAATTTAAATATTATTTTTTAACTTTTAATCACACAAATATTAATTTCAATTATTTATTTATCCAAAATCATAAAAACCAATTCTTAAATACATAGTCATACACCAATTTAACTATTGTTATACATTTCAACATGCAACAAATCTACATGTAAAAATATTTTAACAAAGATTACCGTATATTAATTTTTAACTTCTATATCAAACCTATATATTATATATAATTATAATAATAAAAAATACACATTTTAAATTAATTTATACAAATATAATAATAATGATATTGTTTTCTTAAAAAAGTTTTTTAAAAGAAAAAGTACAGAAGTGCACAGGGATGTCATGGTAGTTTAATAGAATTGGTGTGAGATGATGATTTATCTGTAAAAAGAGTTGAAGAATGTAAAAATGGAAGTAAAAACAGAAAGAGTGATGTGATGAGAGTTGTATTGTATTGTTGGAGACTTGTTGAGACTTGGAAAAGGGAAAAGCATTTTTATAATTACAGATGTAAAACAGCAAAATCCATTTTTATTATTACCTGTTCCGAGAAATGCTGGCCACCATTGTCTGAATAAAAAAGTCAGCCTTTTCCAAAGGAAGAGACAAGCCAAAGACTCTTAATTTGCTCCCTCTAATTCTCTTCACCAACACCCCTTTTAACACCCTTTCAAATTTCCCCATACCTTTTTTTTAGACAATTTTTTTTACCTCTTTTCCAACAACAGACACTTCCCCTCCCTAATGCTAACACCTTCTCTCCAGAAAACAAATACAACATAATTTTTCAGCCCTCAAATCACACCACCTTCACCTATATCTATCAACTCACATCCTTTCCTTTCCCTCCACCCCTTTTGTTCCTGTTCTCCCTTCCATTCCACCATGGGCAACTGTTGCTCAGGTGGCACCAATGATTCTGAAAACAAGGGAGAAACCAACCAACAAAACGACAACCAAGGGGGAACGGCAACCACCCCTCCACAATCTAAGCCTAACCATCCTCCCACCAAGCACTCCAAGCCTGCCCCCATTGGGCCTGTTCTTGGAAGGCCCATGGAGGATGTTAGAAGTACTTACAGCATGGGGAAAGAGCTGGGGAGAGGCCAGTTTGGTGTCACACATTTGTGCACACACAAGAGCACAGGAAAGCAATATGCCTGCAAAACCATTGCCAAGAGAAAGCTGGTTAATAAGGAGGACATTGAGGATGTGAAAAGGGAGGTCCAGATCATGCACCATCTCTCAGGGCAGCCCAACATTGTGGAGCTTGTCAGTGTTTTTGAAGACAAACAATCTGTTCATTTGGTTATGGAGTTGTGTGCAGGGGGTGAGCTCTTTGATCGCATCATTGCAAAGGGACATTACACTGAACGTGCAGCAGCTTCCCTCTTGAGAACCATCGTGCAGATTGTCCACACCTGCCATTCCATGGGAGTCATTCACAGAGATCTTAAGCCTGAAAATTTCCTTCTCTCCAGCAAGGAGGAAAATGCACCTCTCAAGGCAACCGATTTCGGTTTATCAGTTTTTTACAAGCAAGGTAAATAATCATCATCATCTCACCCTTCTCTCTTCTTCTGCTTCTCTTTCAATTCTTATCAGCTTTCATTCAATTCAATTTCTGGGATCTCTGTAACAATTGTTTCTGGGATCTCTGAGATTATATATATCAGTCACATTTATCTGTAATATTAAGAATCGTGACAAAACCATAATCATGACTGTAATTTAAAACCTGCGTAACAAATGTGGATAANGCCCCCATTGGGCCTGTTCTTGGAAGGCCCATGGAGGATGTTAGAAGTACTTACAGCATGGGGAAAGAGCTGGGGAGAGGCCAGTTTGGTGTCACACATTTGTGCACACACAAGAGCACAGGAAAGCAATATGCCTGCAAAACCATTGCCAAGAGAAAGCTGGTTAATAAGGAGGACATTGAGGATGTGAAAAGGGAGGTCCAGATCATGCACCATCTCTCAGGGCAGCCCAACATTGTGGAGCTTGTCAGTGTTTTTGAAGACAAACAATCTGTTCATTTGGTTATGGAGTTGTGTGCAGGGGGTGAGCTCTTTGATCGCATCATTGCAAAGGGACATTACACTGAACGTGCAGCAGCTTCCCTCTTGAGAACCATCGTGCAGATTGTCCACACCTGCCATTCCATGGGAGTCATTCACAGAGATCTTAAGCCTGAAAATTTCCTTCTCTCCAGCAAGGAGGAAAATGCACCTCTCAAGGCAACCGATTTCGGTTTATCAGTTTTTTACAAGCAAGGTAAATAATCATCATCATCTCACCCTTCTCTCTTCTTCTGCTTCTCTTTCAATTCTTATCAGCTTTCATTCAATTCAATTTCTGGGATCTCTGTAACAATTGTTTCTGGGATCTCTGAGATTATATATATCAGTCACATTTATCTGTAATATTAAGAATCGTGACAAAACCATAATCATGACTGTAATTTAAAACCTGCGTAACAAATGTGGATAAAAAACTCACATCACCTGTGCCTCGTCTTGATAGAACTTCTGTTTGGGAAGATTTCTGCTAAACAATGGAATCCTTTTGACAGGAGAATTGTTTAAGGACATTGTTGGAAGCGCATATTACATTGCACCAGAGGTCTTGAAGAGGAAATATGGTCCAGAAGTTGACATTTGGAGTATTGGTGTCATGCTATACATTCTTCTATCTGGTGTTCCACCATTTTGGGCAGGTTATATTCTTTCACTCAATCATAAAGCTACCTCTAGAAAACACTATAAAATCGATCGTATATCTGCATGACACTGAAACCAAAACATGATTTTGACAGAATCCGAAAATGGAATATTCAAGGCAATTCTGCGAGGTCATATTGACTTTACAAGCGATCCATGGCCATCCATTTCGCCTGCAGCAAAAGATCTCGTGAGGAAAATGTTGAATTCGGACCCCAGACAGAGGCTGACAGCGTACGAAGTTCTGAGTAAGTGTAACACTAGCTTACTTTCTAAGAAAAACTTGAACTTAACGACGAATTAATGGTTTGAAAATTAATTTTACTTTAGCATCAACATGATTAGTTCTAATGTGAAAAACAGATCACCCATGGATCAAGGAGGATGGAGAAGCACCAGATAAACCTCTTGACAACGCAGTACTGAATAGGCTCAAGCAGTTCAGAGCAATGAACGAATTCAAGAAAGTTGCTCTAAGGGTAATAATTCATTCTATTTAGGCTTTCTCGCCATTCTTTGTTAATAAATCAATCAATGGTTTGGTTAGAGATGGCAAAAACAAAACTACCTGGTCTGTATTTTCCACTGATTCGCATATGAATACGAATATAGGTCATCGCGGGCTGCCTATCAGAGGAAGAAATCATGGGATTGAAGCAGATGTTCAAGGGGATGGACACTGACAACAGCGGCACCATTACAATTGAAGAGCTCAAACAAGGGCTTGCAAAACAAGGGACCAAGCTAACAGAACAAGAAGTCAAGCAATTAATGGAAGCCGTAAGTTCTCTCTCCTTTTCTAAGTATTGCATCAGAAAACAAGTTCTTCCCAATGCCATTACTCAAACCATTTTCTTTACTTCTGCATACTACAGGCAGATGCCGATGGCAATGGAACCATTGATTACGATGAATTCATCACAGCAACAATGCACATGAACCGCATGAACAAAGAAGATCATCTTTATACTGCCTTCCAATACTTTGACAAAGATAACAGCGGGTAAAGACAAAAAATATCAACTAGACTTCAATATTTATCAGTCATCCCTTCGGAAATTGATTGGTGTTAAACGTTCTAATCTCATTGTTTTGTCATAATTAGGTACATTACCATTGAAGAACTAGAACAGGCTCTTATCGAGTTCAACATGCACGATGGTAGGGACATCAAGGATATCATTTCAGAAGTTGATGCAGATAATGTAAGTTTTTCTTCACTCAACGACTTCAATATGCTAATACATATAACTTTAAATAAAAACCGAGACACAATTATGTCATTTCTAAATAATTCCAATCTATAATAGTGAATTCAAGAGAATGTTATTAGCACTTCTATAGTTCCAATTCAACTAACTTTCTATCACATATGCGGTTAACAACTAGCATACTCTTGTGATACAGCACATCTGAATTACGATTAAGAAAATTTATGAAAAAATTGTCATTGCAGGATGGCCGGATTAACTACGATGAATTTGCTGCAATGATGAACAAAGGAAACCTAGAAGTTAATACCAAGAAGAGGCGTGATTCAACCTTATATTAGTTGGGGATTATACAAATATTTAAAAGGCATCATGGCCTCTTTAGGTCCTGTGTAATTGGTTGGTGCAGATGCTGATAAGCGAGTGAAATATCAAGGAGAGTTGTGGTGCATGACCGCTGTTTGGTTGGGACTGAGGATTTAACGTGGGGAAAGGGTTAAGGTGGTAAACAAACAAAATTTGAGGGGGAAAAGAACTTGAATCAACCATTGAGAAATGTAAACACACACACACACATATATGCGGGGTTGCTTCTCTTGTATTGCTTCTCACTTAGGAATCAAATCAAAAAGGATTTTAAATTATGTATAGATTCCTTTTCAACACTAGGTTCAAATGCATTCATTGTTAAGATTCTACATTTCAATACCCTTTCAATCAAACAGAAAGAATCGGTATAAGGTTTCCACTCTTGAAATTAATGCTGAATTCCGCTATATTTTCAGATTCAGATTTAATATCAAAGAAACTAACAGTACTCGTCTGTTCAACATAAAAAATGGCTCTTGCAGAACGCACGATTACATTATCAGTGAGTTTGAATTAAAATAGAGTAATTCATGGCCACATTAATTTTAGCAATTTTCAAGTCCATACATAATCCTTATGCAACACCCATAATTTCGAAGACAAGACTCTTTTAAGAATAAATCAGAGATAAATACGATACAAGAGAAAACAAGGTAGTAAGAATCACCAGATTGAATCCAAGGTTTGAAACTTTTCATTTGGTTAACTGGTCCATTCAAAACCCATCTGTTTCCGATAATTGCTACAAAACTCAGCACAAAAAAAAGAGTCTCCTCTAGGAACAAAAATGGCTTCAACCAAAATTAGCAATCAGATTGAAGAGGTTGTTTAAACATTGTTGGCAAACATATAATGCGCAGAATCAAGGATTGAGAAAACAGGTACATGAAAGCTCCTCAGAAGCCGACTTCAAACCAAATGAATTCAGAATGGGGAAAACAGAAGGAAACCCTCAAGGAACCTCGTATAGTGACTTGCAAAAACAAATTTCATTTAATTCAATACACAGACGGCAAGCACAACATAGAAAAAAATACCTAAATTTACCAAAGAGAAAAGGAAAGGCCTTCAAAAAGCTGGAAGCAACAATCTTCGAGTTCCCCCACTTCAAACTTTCAAAGTGCAAAAGAAATAAACCTTTCATGCCCTCTTCCTTGATAACTCTTACGTTGACAGAAAGAATAAAGCATTACCTAACCTTTCCACCCCTAAAACTAACGCTGATCTCAGCTGCACATCGAGAATCAAGAGTAAAAGGAAATTAACGCCAATTCAACTCAATACAATACGCCGCAACGAGAAATTCACTCAACATCTGAATCACGCTTGAAAGAACATCAAAGCAACTTATGCATCCAATATTACTCGAACAACAACACAATTACACGGTAGATGCACATACAGAGTGCGTTTGTCGAAAACCCTAACTAACAACCAGAAGCATTTCCGATGAATTTATGTTTCATTTCATTCATTCTAATAGTAACACTCATTTAATCATAAGCATTAATAGTCACTTATACTTACTCCAATAACAATACATTAAACCGTCAACACAGTCTCGAAAACCCTAACTAACATCCCAAGGATTTTGCGAGAACGAACTATTTACTTATCTTTGGTGGAGACGCCGTACTTCTCCTGCATACGCGCAATCTCATCCTCCTTCTTCTTCTGATCGAACTTCTTGCTCATCTTCGCTTGCTGATAATACAGCACGATAAGGTAGCGATTCGCAACATTGAAGCCGGAGAGGTGATCGACGGCGGTTTTAGCGTCGTAGATGTCCTCGTAAACAACGAAGGCGGTTCCGCGCGTGTCCTTATTGGTGCCGATGCGGATCTGGCGAATCGCGCCGTATTTGCCGAAGATGTCGTACATCTCCTCGCTCGTAATGTTGAAGGGAAGGTTGCGCACGTACAGAACGCGGTTTACCTCCGGCGGCAGCCGCGTATTGCCTTTCCGGAGACTGATCGCCGCCATAGCCGCAAGCAGGGAAAGTGAGGGTAATTTTCGAGAGGCAGAGGAGAAAGAAAAAGAAAGATTACCTAAACCTGGGTATTTTACTTTATTTTCACAAGATCCTATTTACTCCGCATTTTTTTTAACAAAATTGCCCTAGTATCTTTTTAAAATTACTTGAGTGAGATGAAAAAAAAAGCAAGTCCTATAAAACTGATTTCATTGTATGAAAACACAATTTCGATGTATATTTCCTAAATATAAGTGAAACCCTAAGTAAAACCCTCGTTAAAAATATGTTTAATATCTTAATAGGTTTCTATTTTCATCCAGAATTTTAAATAGGTTATTTTTTTTTTCGACATCATTTCAATTGAGTCATTATTTTTGTAAAATTGAATCAAATAGGACATTTCCGTCAAATTGAAATGACAAGGGTAGGCTGACACTGCCAACATACCCTTCTTAACAGCGTCATTTCAATTTGACGGAAAGTTCCTATTTGATTCAATTTTACAAAAATAAGAACTCAATTTAGATGCCAAAAAAGAAAGAGACCTGTTTGAAATTCAGAGTAAAAATAAGGACGTATTGAGACATTAAACCTTAAAAATATTATTTCAAGTTTACTATTATTTTAAGAAAAGGATAACGATGAAATTTTTTAATGATAAAACTAAATCGTATTTCTGGATATGATTTTGCTTTCTTTTTAATAAATATTAACATTGATATTTATATGTAAAGAGGTTTTTTTCTACGCTTTTTTTTTCAATTTTATTTTTTAAATAATCATTATGTTATATTAAAGTAATTATAATTTTAACTTTACTCTGTAAATAATGTTAATCTAAATTTAGTAATTTTATAAATTAAAATTTATTTTATCATTTTATCATTTTATCCTTTTGATAACTATTTCTTAAATTTAAATAGTTTTTTAATAATAAATATTATACAATCAATTTGTAGGAAGTTGGCTTAGAGAACTCATCCTATAAAAAGTCCTACCAAAATAACTTGAGAGCTCGATTAGAGACACTCAATAATTACTTTAATAATACTAATTATAAAAAAAACCTAATTCTCATAATATCTAACTAATTTGACTATTTTATTGTTTTTTATACAAAATAAAAATAATTATTAAAGAAAAAAAACCTCGTGCATGTAANATTCATGGCCACATTAATTTTAGCAATTTTCAAGTCCATACATAATCCTTATGCAACACCCATAATTTCGAAGACAAGACTCTTTTAAGAATAAATCAGAGATAAATACGATACAAGAGAAAACAAGGTAGTAAGAATCACCAGATTGAATCCAAGGTTTGAAACTTTTCATTTGGTTAACTGGTCCATTCAAAACCCATCTGTTTCCGATAATTGCTACAAAACTCAGCACAAAAAAAAGAGTCTCCTCTAGGAACAAAAATGGCTTCAACCAAAATTAGCAATCAGATTGAAGAGGTTGTTTAAACATTGTTGGCAAACATATAATGCGCAGAATCAAGGATTGAGAAAACAGGTACATGAAAGCTCCTCAGAAGCCGACTTCAAACCAAATGAATTCAGAATGGGGAAAACAGAAGGAAACCCTCAAGGAACCTCGTATAGTGACTTGCAAAAACAAATTTCATTTAATTCAATACACAGACGGCAAGCACAACATAGAAAAAAATACCTAAATTTACCAAAGAGAAAAGGAAAGGCCTTCAAAAAGCTGGAAGCAACAATCTTCGAGTTCCCCCACTTCAAACTTTCAAAGTGCAAAAGAAATAAACCTTTCATGCCCTCTTCCTTGATAACTCTTACGTTGACAGAAAGAATAAAGCATTACCTAACCTTTCCACCCCTAAAACTAACGCTGATCTCAGCTGCACATCGAGAATCAAGAGTAAAAGGAAATTAACGCCAATTCAACTCAATACAATACGCCGCAACGAGAAATTCACTCAACATCTGAATCACGCTTGAAAGAACATCAAAGCAACTTATGCATCCAATATTACTCGAACAACAACACAATTACACGGTAGATGCACATACAGAGTGCGTTTGTCGAAAACCCTAACTAACAACCAGAAGCATTTCCGATGAATTTATGTTTCATTTCATTCATTCTAATAGTAACACTCATTTAATCATAAGCATTAATAGTCACTTATACTTACTCCAATAACAATACATTAAACCGTCAACACAGTCTCGAAAACCCTAACTAACATCCCAAGGATTTTGCGAGAACGAACTATTTACTTATCTTTGGTGGAGACGCCGTACTTCTCCTGCATACGCGCAATCTCATCCTCCTTCTTCTTCTGATCGAACTTCTTGCTCATCTTCGCTTGCTGATAATACAGCACGATAAGGTAGCGATTCGCAACATTGAAGCCGGAGAGGTGATCGACGGCGGTTTTAGCGTCGTAGATGTCCTCGTAAACAACGAAGGCGGTTCCGCGCGTGTCCTTATTGGTGCCGATGCGGATCTGGCGAATCGCGCCGTATTTGCCGAAGATGTCGTACATCTCCTCGCTCGTAATGTTGAAGGGAAGGTTGCGCACGTACAGAACGCGGTTTACCTCCGGCGGCAGCCGCGTATTGCCTTTCCGGAGACTGATCGCCGCCATAGCCGCAAGCAGGGAAAGTGAGGGTAATTTTCGAGAGGCAGAGGAGAAAGAAAAAGAAAGATTACCTAAACCTGGGTATTTTACTTTATTTTCACAAGATCCTATTTACTCCGCATTTTTTTTAACAAAATTGCCCTAGTATCTTTTTAAAATTACTTGAGTGAGATGAAAAAAAAAGCAAGTCCTATAAAACTGATTTCATTGTATGAAAACACAATTTCGATGTATATTTCCTAAATATAAGTGAAACCCTAAGTAAAACCCTCGTTAAAAATATGTTTAATATCTTAATAGGTTTCTATTTTCATCCAGAATTTTAAATAGGTTATTTTTTTTTTCGACATCATTTCAATTGAGTCATTATTTTTGTAAAATTGAATCAAA